AATAAAAACTTTATAATGACTGCCTCCTGAATAACTACCACCTATAATTTTTAACATGTATCTTTTCTGTTAATAATGATCCATCAACTGCATCCCAAACTCAGATTCATATATATGACATTAATAAGACCTATTTGGACTTACGGAATTGAGCTATGGGGCTCCACCAAACTATCGAATTCCTCTCGTTTCCAATCCTTACTATCCAAAATCCTTCGTAAAATCCTCAAAACTCCTTACTTTGTCACAAATAAAATCATCCATAAAGACCTTAATGTTCCATATGTTTCCGATTTGGCCCAATCCAGATACCTATCTTTCCATAACAAACTCCAGAACCATCCAAACCCTCTCGTGATCTACTTATGTAAATATATTATTAGAGTGCTACTAAAGGGTAGTTTCTCAACAAGCGTTTTCATGGGATTGTATTATTACTGTGTGCACATTTACTAGTTGTATTTTTTTATAATCAAGTTGTAAATATCAATGATTAAAAAAAAAAAAAATTCTGTTGTTTCACTGAAAATATTTTATATATTTTTTAATTGTTATTAATGTAGTTTTTGGTCTGATATGGCTTTTGTTTCTTGTTCATAATTTGTATTCTTAAGAGACCTTGTCCCTGAATATGTATTTACTAGGATATAGAAATCTTAACAGACGTACATCGTTCCGTGTCTAAAATACGTTTTACATATAAGGCATGGTTGTAAATAACTAAAAATAATAATCTTTCTAATCATTTATATATACTGGGTGCATGTGCGTTTCGCATGGTATATTTTTGAATACTGAAAATATTTAATATTTATTACTAAATTAAATCTTTTTTTTTTTTTGGAAGTAAAATACAATTATTCCTCTAAATTTTGAAGGTGAGTTTTATGAATTGAGGTGCAAGAGACTGTTAAGTGGAGGGGGGGGGGGAGGGGTTGAGTGGAGTGCATAGTTCTTGACCCAGTTTCGCCGTCAACTAAAGCAGCCCGGTCTTAGCTGGAGTTGAATATCATATGTTCCTTCGCGGAGCTCTACCAGAAGATATGTTTCTTCATATTTTTAATGATAAAGTTAACTTTAATTTTATTAAAATTAAATACTTATTATATTTCACAAGTATTTGGGCTATGAGCTATTAGCCCTGGAGCCAGGGTCCAAAAATCGACTTGATCGCAGGCGAATGTTTGATTATAATTTACGAAATTGTATGTTATTCTGACTAGAAAGAATCTTGTCGCTGCTTTTAAAAATGGCGGCTGATTTAAAGAATATTAGACCAATAACCTGAGGATCGAAACAGGAAACCCATTGCGAAAAATGTGAGAAAAGAAATTTTTTAAACTTGTATATGTGGGTTTAGACATTTAAAAAAGAAAATCGCTAAAGCGGGCCACCAAGGGAAAACTTTTTAAAGTCAAAAAAGTAACATTTTTTCGATATTTTATTGTTTTTTTCATCTATAACTTCTGAACGCTGCATCAAAGCTAAAAATGTATTGTATTATAAATAAAAAACGTTAAATAGTTAAATATCATGAATGGGGTACCGTTGGATTCAGAATTTCACGGGAGGTTAGCGAATCGTATTCTCCGCTTTTATTTTTCTTTCTAAAACAAATAAATTCGATAACAACATTTTTCTAAGCTTCAATACTGGAACGGTGGTAAGTCTTTAGATAGATACGGGACAAATTGGGCATTGAAGATTTGGATGCGTACAGCAAGATCTGCGTTTTTAAGCCCAAAAACGTACTATTTTCGAGATAAGGCTAAGCAAATGGTTCGCATCCACACAACCTTACATTAATTGTAGTACTGTCATTGAATACATGTCTCATTTCGTCGACTTGAGGCCCCTATGATCGAGAGAGGAGGAGTTTATATTATTTATCGATATTGTTTTTGATTGGTTTTTCACCATATCTCAAGATTGAGCCACCAGTTTTGAAGGCTTCCTTCTCCTTCAGGCCGGCAAAATAGTCCAATCACCCAGAAAATTCAGACAAACAAGTTATGAAAGAAAAGAAACTTTATTTGCGAATAACTAAACATTACACTCTTTTCCCTGTTCATGATTATATAAAAGATCACTAAATTCCCTACAAAAAGAAAAAAACATTATCGAAATCGGACAATTTGTAGCAAAATCATAGCTTATTGAAATTTGTAAACATGTTGGTTCCAAACATCAATGAAGTTTTAAATTAATTTTTGTTCCCTTTATCGCTAAAGTAACAATTGATTTCTTTATCTTATGATACGTTGCATTATTTTATTTTCTTATTAATTTGACATTTGATCACTTAACAATATGCTGTGCGAATTGTTTCACGGGCCAACTAGTCTTAATAATTTGGTTACGTGGTAAGGTATAAACCACGGTAAACCAACAAAGTGATTTTTTCCAAATGTATCAAAATCTGAGACAAATTATTATAAATGGCCCTGTACTTGGAAACGAGTTCCCTAAGAGAAAAAGCCCATTGAGTAAAAGTCGTAGAGCATCATATTTTGCGTCCACTGAGTACTGACATTTTTATCTCAGGCCAATTATATATCTCGTATCGAGATTTGTTATTTCTTTAAGAAATAACTATCTTTCGGCACATCGTTTACCAAAATCTTTTTCTGTTGAGAGGTGGAAAAGAGGTTTGTATTGCATGTAACAGACTGAACAAAAATAACTCAGTAGAATAGACACCCATACTGTTGAAATATTGAAAATCACGTATGTCTTCATTAGCGATTTCTAAATATCAAGAGATTACCGATTTTGTTCGGAGTAAGTACACAATACTTTCCTTTACTATATATTTCATATATAGGTAAGTGAAAGTAAAAAAAAAAAAAATTAATTGTCCTAATCGACCATCGATATGGAAGTTTTCCTCGCTTATTACCAACGAGTTTTTCTAGGACTTATTTTTGTATTATATTTTTACAACAGGTTCTATTTATTTCTTGGAAAAATTTATTTTAAATTATTCATATCGTTTCCCTGTACTGATGAAGTCATAGGTTGTATTGAATCATTGATGTAAATATATTGTGAAGCATTGAATCATGAGATTCAGCTTGAACCTTGCTAAGTGAAAGGTGGAATGGTATCTCACATTGCAGTCATTACGGCAATCCAAAGGCATTCCAATAGGTCAAGTGAACTTTAGATTTATTTTTAAGAAATTACTTTTTAGATATGCTTCTTTATTATTTCAATGGGAATCATACTCAAACCATATATGCAGTGGCAGTTAATACATATTGAGGGGAGGGGGAAGTTTATACTAGAGCGTCATTCATAAATTAGTATCTCTAGTCAGGACTTTATGCCCTATAATATATTATAATTATCAGTGGTCCATTTAGCGGCTCAGGGTAGCGAAAGTGTATAAAATGCCCAAATTGAAAATACGTTAAGCAACTTTTTGATTTCTGGTCCTTGAATAGTTAAAGAATAAATTCTTCCGAAAAGAAATGTTTGGACGAGTCTTAAAGTGATCTATTATAGCACACTCAATCTAGCCCATACAAAAATTGTCAATTCAAGTGTTATGTTTATGTTTTTTTTGCTGTTCCATCATTTTCAATGATAACAAATTAAAATTTTGTGGATATTTACTTCATTTATTGAAGAAAATTAGACATCAATAATCACTTTAATTATTTGCTTTGTTATGTTGATATGAGGTATACAATACCCCTCTTTCAGAAATAGAACGGATAAAATATTTTTCTAATTTAGATAGCTTTTGAGAATCCTTATAAAAACATCATTTGCAATGGAGTGCATTTGTTACCCGAGAACCGGTGTTTTACCCCACTGTGCGCGCACAGTGGCTTTCAGGACTCAAGTCAATTTAAATGAGTTTGTTTCATTTTTTTAGTTTGAAAATTATTAGTTCTTTTTTAGAAGGTCACTTTAATCTAGGAAAAATATTTCAGTATATAGCGTAAGCGCACCAATGATGGACATAGATAAGGAATTTTTTTGTCTTATGCCGCCGTAATTATTATAGTTATAAACTTCTCCGTTGGACATTTAGAATCTCTAGAGCCTCCTTTTTTTGTTCAACACTTTAAAATTGAAAAAATATACAGTTATGCCGATATAATCTCCATTAAAAAAAAAAAACACCTTTTTGCACTAGTGGTGAGGTTTATAATTTTCAATAATGAACCATTGTGATCGAACAAAAAATTAAAAAAACTTAACGTCCTCTCAAATTTTGAGTTTTTACGTTTCAGGATACGTAGAATTCGAAAACGAATAATTTTTTTTGTCCGTACGCCGTCCTCGCTTTTTCTTCGAAACTACTGGACCGATTTTTTTTTTTTAATTTGCCTTTAAAATTAGAGGTCACCCGAGGATGATCCTCCTTCATCGACATTTCCATCCGCATTTTCCTTTCAAGATGGCGACCGAAAAACCTGCGTTGCTAAACGAATTCGCGGTATTTCAATGAAACTTCGCTATAGTCTTATTCTCGATACCCTTTAAATTCATCAACATAACATTCCTCAACGAAAAGAAACGGGAAAAAAAGTTACGAGGGATGGTAAAATTAAATTCCGAATAACTCAAAAAGTATACACTTTTTTGTCGATATTGTGATAAGAGGTTTCAAAGGTATTTAAATTTCCTAAAAAATTAAGAAAGTTTCAACGAAACTTTGTTGTCGATATTGTATATGGTTATTTAAAAGTTTTTCCTTAAAACGGAATTTCCTAAAAAAAAAAATCGTTGAAATCGGTGTCAGCAAAGATATGTTTTTTTTTTATGTTACACTGCAAAGGTTACATCCTTTGTTTTGTTTTTGAATGTGTTACTGAAGTAATGATAATTTTTTTAGCATATCACTAATGATTAAAAAAAATGTTTAGTTCAATAGTTGGAATCACTTTTTATTTCTTTTTTTTTGTAACTAGGAAGGTAATGTTTCTTTAGATGTATAATTATATTTTACTGAACATGTTGTTTAATTTCTATTATTTCTGTTGCAGGGCTGGGCGACGACACGTCAGTGGGACCGATGTTCATCAAGGAACCCCCGAACAGGGTTGACTTCTCCAACACGACAGGCGCGGTAATAGAATGCACGGCTCGAGGTAACCCCACTCCGGAAATCATCTGGGTCCGATCGGATGGAACTGCCGTTGGCGACGTTCCTGGTCTGCGACAGGTTGGTGTAGTTGTCAAGAAATTACTTTTTAGTGAAATATATATTTAAATAAAAAGAAAGATGGATCCGTAAAGATATCCATAGTTGCTTCTAAAGTGCATATATTACGAATTGGATATCCTGCCATTCCTATTCTACGCAAATGTTTCGTAAGATAATGCTGACCTGTTATCATTCGGAAATCTGTAGGAAATTCCTTTCTTAGCTGGTCTACGGATATAGGTACTCATTCTTTTTCAAAAAGCAGTGTTCTGCATTGCTTCTAATTTTTTTTTTCTTTTCACTTTACACACCTTGTAGATCTTCTGCCGCCTAAACCAGGCTTTTCCATCTATGCCTATTTTGGAATATTTCTTTTTAATGTCCTTCCCATCATAACACGAGGTATTGGTGGACTAGTTCTGTTGTTAGTTATTATAGTCTATCCCAGTGTCTGTTGGTTCAGTTCTTTATTGGATCCTAGACGGTCAGTCATGAATGGCAGTCAAACAAGGATTGCTTCAATCATAATGACGATTACAGGTATCAATCATACTGACGCATTTTAGCTCAGTTGACGTCGAGATACCAGGCAGTGTGGATCTGGTGCATTATCCATTAATAATAACGTGTTTTATTAAAAAAGCTTATTTGACCATTATCCTTTATAGCATTGGACATCAAAAGAAATGTGTAGATATAATAATTACTTCCTAGTGCCTGAAAATCATTTTGACAAAAATTAACTAATAACAAAAAAGTATTGCGAAAATTATAAATTTGTTGAAAAATAACCAATAAATATACACTACAGTTAAAGATTAATTTTTTTAAGCAAATTGAATATTTTCCACTTTTCTTTTTTTTAAATTTATTGGCAACTTGACCATTTAAAAAAAATCATTTCAGAATTGTTTATAAATATATAAACTAGGGATAATAATAATAAAAGGCTTAGCGAACTCGAAGGTTCGATGCCAACACCACCAATCCCTTATTACACACCTCCCTCCACAGTTCGCCGTCCAAACCCAGTAACTTCAGATCGGCATTAATGCAATCTTCCCACCTTCGCTTCGGTCTATCCCTCAGACGTTTACCAATATAAACTAGGGATATGAAAACTATTTACTTGCAATGAAAATCAGAAATGTACAATGGTTGTGAGGCCTATGTAAACTCATCAGTTGAAAATATAATTTAAAAACGGAAAGAATGACTAATGATAAGGGGAAAAAAGAAAAAAAAAGCGAGATTAAATGCGGAAAAATCAGGTTGGTGAAACAGTTCAAATACTTTATGAAACTCGTAAACTGCAAGGGGAGAGACATACAGATAAGAGAAGTAAAATTGGATAAATTAAGATTTTGTGTCAGGAATTTGTATGATAAGAATCTTTCCAGGAAAACCAAAATTAAACATTATTAAACAGTCATAAAACCGGTGATACTCTATGGGGCAAAGACTATGGGATTAACCAATATGGAATCATTACTGAAAACAGAAAGAAAGATTCTGAAAATAATATACGGACCCAGAAAGGTGAGTGAAGAATAGCGATTAAAGAATAACGATGAGCTTTCTGAACAGGTTGAAAACTTGGATTCTTCGATGAGGAAAAGGAGATTAAAGTTATTCGAACCTTTGAAGAGAATTGATTGGAATAGGCTGAAGAACATAAAAAGTTATCCGGAACAAATAAAAGAAGAATTGAAAAGAAAATAGGTATCCAAGAAGAGGACTTCCATGATAGGAATAGGTTCGGAAAAATAGTGAAAAATATAAAAGTTTTTGTAGCGGATAAGAAAAAGCAAGATAATAAGAAATGGACAGAGGAGATAAGGAGGAAGATGAGAGAAAAATGAAAAAGAAAAAGACCTAAAAGGGATGTACCCATGGTCCATCGTTAGCCTGTATCGCGATAAATAAATAAATAAATATATATGTATATATATATATATATATATATATATATATATATATATATATATATATATATATATATATATATATTCTAACGTATTAAAAGTCTCGAGATTACTGATAGAGGAATAAACGATGGAATACTTCCAGAACGTGGTGGAGCTTTCTTAACTCCGTCCGAACGGACACGACCCCTCATAGAGGCCATACACCAAGATTGGCAACCAACATGGGACAACAGTCCTCCAAATAAACTAAAAGTGATAAAAATTGAAGTGAAGCCATGGGGCAATTCCAGTCGCAGTAAACGCAGAGAGGAAGTTGTTCTTACGCGACTAAGAATAGGTCATATACAGGCTTACGTACCTTCACTTAATTACGAAAGAAAACCCGCACATTTGTCGGAAGTGTGGAGGAAGACAATGGCAGGAGTCCATATCTTTGAGGGTTGTTCCTTTAATACCAGATAATTAAACAAAAGAGAAATACCAGCAAATATATCAGCTGCTTTGAAAAATGAAAAAATCTCGAGTAAAGTCATATGTTTTCTCTCTGAAGAAGGAATCTTTAAAAATATCTCGTGCAGCAATCCCTTTTATTAAACTTAACGTGCTAACTTTAAACCTAACTTTCAAACCTTAAATAAGTTTAAACTTAACGAGCTTTTTACCTCTTTTTAATTTAATTATATGTAATCTTAATTAACTTCGTTTATAACCAACAGGTTTTACGCCTTTACTGTATAACGACCAACCATCTCAGGATAAAAATAAACTCCTTTTCTTCTTCTTTACGTATAAGCAGAGATTCTAACAACGCTTCATCGCTTATCGCAGCTTCAACATAAACATGCCCTTAGTTCTCTTATATATAACAAATATTACAAAAGACCTTTCACGTGAAGCAGTAGGCTATTGACAAAGGAAACCAGGCCTGGCTTCGCACGTCAGAGCTACAGGTTAGGCGAAGAAACGGGAGAGGCCTTGACTACTCAATTTCTGTCGGAGGGAGCGCGGGGGCGGTTTTGTTGAAGATTGCTTTGTTGCGGTTGATCAAAGCCTCGTGGCTTCTATATGCCAAATATGGCTTCTAAAACTTTATCAACTCAATTGAGATGTTGGCATTAAATCTAAGAATCAATATCCACACCATCTGGAACAATTTTTTTTTTATTATTATTTTATTGAAATTTACAACTGTAAACATATATACAACCAGTAAATTTGCTATAGGAATATATTACATGAAGGTACTTGTGAAGAAGCTACCCATTGGTAACACTTCAAAGATAAATTAATTTAGAAGGTACTTCTTTTCCGACGCCTCGAAGGGCTGTCAGGAATTGTGTTGGATGAGAGGTTACAAAGTACAGGATTGGGGTGAACAAAGAGTTTGGAATTAAAAGAGGTATATTTAGTTCGGGTCAAGTCTTGAACAAGAAGAATATTGAGATCTTTATGGATAATTTTATGATAAGCACTGTAATGTGTACAAAAATAGATCACCCAGCTATCTTCTTTTCAGACGCCTTGGAGGATTATCAGGAATCGAAAAGAAAGCGAGGTTATAAACAGGGGGATTCGGATAGTTATGAAGTTTAATATGGAAGGATAGGTATCTGGATTGGGCCAAACCGGAATCATATGTAACATTAAGTACTTAATAGATTATTTTATTTGTGACAATGTAAGCAGTATTTAGGATTTTACGGAGGATTTTGGATTGTAAGGATTGGATACGGGAAGAATTTGATGTTTTTGTAGAGCCCTAAAGCTCAATACAGTATCTCTAAATGGACCTGATGATGGTAGTGTAAATGATTTTTTGTAGAATATCGGAAGTTTAGATCATTTGTCAAGTAAGTGTTGTAGTAGTCGGAATCTGTTGGAAGTTTCTTGTCTTGTAAGTCTAGTATGAGGATTCCAGGTAAGGCGTTTGTCAAGAAGGAGTCTTAGGCAAAGGATCTGTTCGACAGGGATCAGTGAATTATTGTTAAAGGATACGGTGGTACAGGATGTTATAGGTTTACGGCGAAGGGTAAAAGTAATTGGTTAGGATTTGTTTGGATTAATTCTCCAATTTGCACAACATTCTTCAATGGCTGAAATGTGTGACTGCAGGGTTTGTGATGCAATAGTTGGTTCATTATTGACAGACAACACATATGTGTCATCAGCATAGATAGTGAGAACGGTTGAAGGATAGGTAGGGATATCAGCTGTATATACTGTGTAAAGGATGGGACCTAAGATGCTTCCTTGAGGAACACCAGCGGACTGGGAAAAGAGAAATGAATAAGAGTTACAATTTACTTTAAAGGTTATATCTGTGAGGTAAGAGCGGATTAATAGGAAATGTAATTAGGGGGCAGGAATTTAAGGAGTTTGTACAGTAAACCTGCATACAGACTCGATCAAAAGCCTAGAACAAATTCATAGTGAAAAACTGTCGGAACCAGACATCAAAATTAAAATACCAAATTTATAAAGTAAAAATACCAAAAGTAAAATACCCAATAATAGCAACAATTGCATTTATGAAAACCGCATACGTATATTTATATAATATTGTCTGAGTTAGTATTATATTAAGCTCATATAACTTATGGAAGCGTGTTCTAATCTTTAGGAAGAGTTCGGATGAGCTCAGATCTGCTCGTATTTCTTTGTTTCTCTAATTAGAACTATTCTCCGTTACCATCTCTTATTTCTCCTTTAGTTAATTATCAAATTCTTTCATTTTTATATTTAACTATCTTTTATATTAAAGATTAATGTGTAATAGTCAATTGTTTCAAATAAAAAAATATATAAGTGAAGCTAATATTGAAAATTAGCCATATAAGCCCTGTTAGAGAACATCAATCAGATTAAAAACTATAGTTTATTTAAAACTGCCTAATTTTACACTGATATAATGAAATTAATCACAATCGTTAAAGCTGTTTTCGAGAAAATCGTAAAAATGTTTTTAGCCGATGATATAATGTGCCACTTCCGGTTAGCCAATTCTGACGAAAAGGTTTCTGTAACATCCATTGTATATAAAAACCTTAAATATGCAATTTCACTTTCGTACGACTTTTCGTTTTTGAGCTAGACTGTTAACACGCACACAGACCATTTTGCAATACTTTCCTTTACTATTTATTTCATATATAGGTAAGTGAGGGTGGCTGATCGGGGTGGCCGAATGGCTAAAGCGTGTGCACTGCACCGCCGTTGCCTGGCAACCTGACATATGAATCAAAAATATAAAAATAGTCACGAGTTCGCGTCCCGGTGCCGGGGGAGTCTTTTAAATCCCCGCCCACACTCCTTGGCTCGGGAAAATCCCGTATAGCCTTAACGGCGAGGAATGGAAGGACCCAAAAAAAAAAAAAAAATAAAAAAATAAAAAAAAAAAAAAATAAAAAAAAAAAAAATATATATATATATATATATATATATATATATATATATAAGTGAAATTTAAAAAAAAACCTAACTCATTGACGTTTCGTCAATTCAGACATCATCAGGATAAAAAGATAGAGACAATTTAAACTCATAAAATTTTTTTCAAAGTATGTCTTGAAATCTTCGAGGTATAAAAGGGGAAGACTTGTGGCAAGTTTTATCAAAATAAAGCCTTTTTAGCACTATAGTCTTTATTCATTTTAAGCATCGAAATATGTCTTGATGCAACTTACGCCTCCCACAGACGATGACTGGATAAACGTTGAGAATGTGAAAGAGGCTAGATTATGCCACACATTGAACTCCACTTTGTTGTTAGTAGTTTTAATCTTAGACTGGATATATTTTTTTGTAATGATAATATAACTCGACCTTTTTGTTTTGCAGGTTTTGGCAAATGGTAATTTGGTGTTTCCACCTTTCAGAGCGGAGGACTACAGGCAAGAAGTCCATGCGCAGGTTTACATCTGCCTTGCCAAGAATACAGTCGGTACCATACACTCCAGAGATGTTAATGTCAGAGCTGGTGAGTTTAAAGCCATATCAGGAAAATTTATTTTTAATATTTGTCTAAAACAAAATATTTTCTTTGAAGGTTTAGGGATTATATGCATTTATCAATTTATTTTTCTACTTGTTAACAAATATCAAGAAAGTGACATTCCTAGAACTATTTTTTCTTTCTAACGAGAAGAACATTTTAAAAAAAATAACAGTTCTATAATAATTTAATTTTAATAATTTTTTTTCATTTGTATTGTATATTAAAAAGTGATTAGGGTATCTCAATGTGTAAGGCAATGGCCATGTTCTGCGTAAGGTCCCGGATTCGAGTCCGGTTGTGGCTGTGTAATTATTTATTCCGTGACATCAGCCATGGATCGACTCTGGAGATCCTCCTATTTACACCCAGATTCTTTGAAGTGCGTTATCTAATTAATTGATTAATTAATTATGGAGGAAAACTGGCGGTTGAGAGTGATCTTTGTTAAATCACCTCATTCCACAAATTTGAAACAGTATTTCTTTACAAATTATTTAACCCAAGATCCACACAGGTTTATATTTATATACATATATTAATTACAAAATTATTATTATAATAATTAGAAATTTTTGATAAAAGGGGAAGAGATATAGCCTCAAAATGTTAACAAGCAGAAAAATAAATTAATAAAACCTTGTTTGCTGAATCTTCACAGAAAAGGTTGTTTAGACTTATGTCATTAAAGAAAAAAAGTAATGTTTATTTTGATCTTTATCCAATAAAAAAAAAAATAATGATATTAATAGCTAAAAAAAAATAGTTATATTTCAAAAGTTTTTTTAAAAAATCAATATTCGATTTTACATTTATTCATTTAATAAATATAATAATATATTAAAGATTGGATGAGGATCAAGTATTATATCAGTTAAACCATCTATGGAGATGCATGTAAGTAAAATATTCAAAATAAAAAAAGATTTGGCGAAATTCTTCTGTATATAAGGGTGTTCATAAAAGGGATGGTATTTCACTAGTCATTAAATTTTTTGAGAAGGACTAAGTTTTTACTGGATGGTTTTTTTTTTAAGCAAACGAGAAAAAATTCATACTAATTATTAATTATTATTAATAAATTATACTTTCACTTGCATAATTTTTAAAATAAAAAGAACAATATTTTTTTTCTGAACAGGGTCAGTTTAATTGTGATTTAAAAAAAAAATGCTTTCGTTAATTATTAATTGATCCATAGATGGTTTAGCATTCAACAATTAATTTTAGCTTAAAGAAATAAGAATTCATAAAAATATACTTTTGAAACAAAAGAAATTTCGTATGAGATTATGGATTGAAATTTACATTGTATAATCTGAAACTTCATAAATTAATGTAAATTTCATAATATTATTTTTTTATTTATTTATAACAGATTGTTTTTGTTTTTTCGTTCATTTAATTCATTACTGAATTCTTATTTCTTTGAAAATTTAAAAATCAGTATAGGTGTTATTTTATAAGTTTTTATTTTTATAATCATTTTCAGATTGAAGTCATTTTTTATTTCATGATTTATTAATAATAACAAAAAAGTTAACACTTTATACTGAATTCATTTAAAGACACCTATACTTATTTTTCATTATTAATAAAAAAAAAATCATTGTGAACTAAAATAATTTATAATCAGTTGTAAAATGGCTAACCTTTAGCATTACTGGAATTTTTAATTATTTGTTTGTTTAAACTACTAAATTTTCTTATATGGTACTTTGTCGATGTTTTTAGTTCAATGATTTTTTTTTAAATATTTATTTCTTGCTTGTTATTATTGTGTTTTTTCTGTACTGGGTTGAAAATATATTTCTGTTTATTAATATTAAATTTTATCATAAATATTTTTCAGTTCATTCCAAAATTTATAAGCAATTCCATCGATTTTAAATATATATATAAAATAATTATTAATTTATCATTTTTTTTATCCTTGCTTTTGCTTTCATTTATTTTTATATTTATAAATTCCAACCCAGTACAATTTATATATATATATATATATATATATATATATATATATATATATATATATATATATATATATATATATATATATTTATGTATTATTATAAATTTGTCCCCCGATGTATAGCTATACACATGAGTTAGATTTTTCCTGAGGTTTCTTTTGTCTGTCTGTCGTCTTCAGTGGTGGCGCAAGCGTACGATGTTGATGTCCACAAGGAGTACGCTATCCGTGGGAACGCTGTCATCTTCAAGTGTACATTCCCCTCTTTCATAGCTGATTTCCTCTCTGTCGTATCCTGGGAGGTGGACTCCGAGACCGTCTGGTCGGGGGGTGAAGAGGGTAGGAAGCTTGTGCCGTAGTCCGCCGCTCACACAGGGGTCCTTCATGTCCATCCTCTCAGAAAGGAAAAAAAAATGAGTAGCCGATGATTTGCAATAGTTCCAAGTATTATAGTAACTCTTGCTTGCGGGTGTCATAACCTGGAATATGATTTTAAAAGATAAAACAATCTTACGCGTTTTCCACCCTTTTGAAGAACGGAGTATAATTAAATTTTATCAGGGCTTTTTTTTCCATTTTTCATTCCAAAGGGTAAATACGTATTCAGTCAACTATTATTCTGAAAATGTAGCCGGCATGCAAAGAATTGATTTATTAATTATGGAGAAATGTACAATACAAGTTCTTTAAATATTAGAGATACTTTTATAAAATAACTTTCTTTTATAAATGTTGTCAGTTTAAAATTGCGTCCTAGAGGTTACTCTGCTTTTGCATTGTACCTTGCATGCCCTTGCACCTTTCATTGTATTTGTGGAAAACCTGGCGTTTACCCGGGAGTTATACGATAAGTCATGAATGACAGTCAAATGACTTACAAGGATTTCTTCAATCATGATCCCTTACACATATCAATCATACTGACGCATTTCAGCTCAGTTGACATTGAGATACCAGGCAGTGTGGATCTGGTGATTGCTCATTTTTACTGTGTCATTAAAATTTATTTAGCCATTATCCTTTATAGCATTGTACATCAAGAAAAAAATGGAAATATAATAATTACTTCCTAGTGCTTAAAAATCGTTTTGACAAAAGTTAGAAAAATACAAGTCTACAAATTACAAAAAAGTATTGACAAATATACACAACAGTTAATGATTAATTTTTTTATATAAGTAAATTGTGAAGTTTCCATTTTTTTTTATTTATTGCCCACCTAACTATTTAAAAAAAAAATGAAGATGGTTCATAAAAATATAAACAAGGGAAATGGAAAACTACTTTTGACGAAAGTCAGAAATTTACAATGGCTTTGAGGTCTAGATAAACTAACCTATCTATTTGTTAGGTTAATCTTCTCACCACTTTTACCTGAATCTCCTTCCTCTTCTCGTGATTGAACCTTTGATTGCCGGATTTTCAGAAATCCGCCGGATTGAAATTCCGAATGACCGTGAAGGGTCTGCATTATATGACCATTCAAGAAAACTGTCCACGTATTGAACTCTAGACCACGGCAAGAACCTATCTCTCCCTGCTTCCAAGATATTTTATTGTTCACCTTTTCTTAAAAACAGAGCAAGTTAAGTTGGAATTAGAAAAATCGTTGATCATATACAATTACACTTGCTGCGATCTGTTCCATGTTTCCCCCTTGTCCCTTAGTCCGAAAATTCATAACCCCGTCAAAATCTGCCTCACTTATAAATCCATAAACCAGTAAAAATATGGCTCCCTCAAAAATTTTGAGCATGCTCCATGAAACCTTCCTTCAAGTGGTAAAAGAGATTCCTATCTTTTTTTTTCGAGCTTTGCAATTGATTTCTTCTAAAAGTATCTAAAGGATTGTTGCTAAATATAGTCATTACAGTCATTAGACTATTACAGCAGGAATTTATATTTTATTAATCGATTAATGCATCGATATCGATAGTTGTATCCCAGGGGTACGAAGTTGATGCGAGTAAGGAATACGTCATCAGGGGCAACTCTGTCATCATCAAATGCCAGTTTCCTTCCTTTGTGGCTGACTTCTTGTCTGTAGTTTCCTGGGAAACAGATGACGGACAATCATTCTATCCTAATCAGGAAAACGGTGATATGATCCAATGCAAGAATGATTATTTTTAACCTATGAACCTCACTCACATGGCGTTTTTCCTTTGAAATGAAGTTATTTGTGATTTTTTTCTGATTTGTGGAATGCAAATGGTAATAACATTCGCTATAACTATTACTTTTTTCCCCGTTTCTTATGCCGAAACGTCTGCTTTTAATAGTACTGTCATTCATTCCTTCTATGACAGCCAAATGCAGTTCCGAATTACACTCGGAATCAAACATTTATCAAGTTGTAAAGCTTAATGCCACAACAATTTGGTCCAAACGGAAACTTGCGAAAAGTCGAGTAATTTTTAAATCAATCTAAAACTTTTTGGGGCCCTTTTTTCTTAGGGTTCTCATTTCCAAGCTACTTACTCGTCTCGTTTTTGAGAAATTTGGGAAAAAATAAGCGTTTATTGTCTGTGGCTTTCTACAATACCACTTAACCATATTATTCGATTCTTAACCATATTATATTACTCCTTCGGCGCACACTTCAACGTTCTATAATTTCTTGAAAAGTACATTTTTCGCTTAGATATAGCGTTATGTTTGAAAAAAAAAAACAGATTGAATAAATATGGCTTTTTCGGTTGTAAAAAGATTTCCCTTGGTTGCTCGCATTCGGAATTTTGATTTTTTACATGTTTTAAACCAAATATACAAGTTTAAAAAAACACAACTATTTTCACTATATATTTCACGTTTCGATCTTCAAATTACTGACCTAATGTTTTTTAAATCTACCGCCATTTTAAAATCAGCGGCTCTGAAACTGCAGACAAGGTTCATTTTACATCCATACCTTCGCCTGCAATCAAGTCCATTTTTGGAGCCTAGCTCCGGGGCTATCATAACAATCTATCAACAAGTTAAAGCTAAGAAATTGTGATGCTTTCCATCATTGTACAGTGGTCACTCAAAGTTACGACACGAATGCTGGAATGGAGTACGCTATCCGAGGAAACTCCGTGACCATGAAGTGTCAAGTCCCATCTTTCATTGCCGACTTTGTGACGGTGATATCATGGCATACCGATTTAGGCGAAGAGTTCTTCCCAACCCAAGACTACGGTTGGTTCCTGTCTTATAATGTTTCTCCGTTAGTTTATTACCTCATTCTATTATTCCAAAATCCCTCAAAAAATGGCCAATACATGTTTTTCCTGATACATTTCTTACGAGACGATAAATTATTTTACTTTTTTTTTCATCCTCAGAAGATATTTTACGTAACCTTTAGTAGCTTTAATCCAATCATTTATAATCTTAGTTCCACGTTCGCTGTTTGTCAGTCATTCTTCTTATTTTGGGAAGACTCAATTTTAGAGAAGCTGTTGGTAAAGAATCAATTAGGACGGACTTTTCAGAGTTTAATTGTATATTATGATACGATCTTACAGTGAAACCTTTCATTACAGTTGTGACACAAGCCTATGAGACAACTGTTGGAGTCGACTTCGCAATCAGGGGCAACTCCGTTGTCCTGAAATGTGGCATCCCATCGTTTGTTGCTGATTTCGTGCAAGTCGTTTCTTGGCATCTCAACGATGAAGTCGTTTACCCGACTGAAAAATATGGTCTCTACTCATGATTTTGGTCGTTATTGGTGTTATTTATCCCTCACTCACAAATCTAATCCTTTTTTTCATTATCAAAAGATACTCTCAAATAGTGATCCTTCTTCCTTACCTATAAACGATACCAGCAAAACATTTTAAATGTTATAATGCAACGTTATATAAAGACAGATTATTCAACACATACAATTGGTGAAGCTTCATAGTTCACTAAGTCCTTGCAAATAACTGTTTATTTAATTAATAATTAGCTTGTCCTTCTGGAAAATATCCCTCTAGTTTAATATTTAAGCGGTAAGCTATTCTTGAACTTGTATTATTCCACAATTAGACTTGCTCAGTACCTAATTGTTTAAGGAAAAAGAGCTGTAGTTTGTAGTTCTCTCACTTTCTAGGAGTATAGAGTCTATACAATATTAAAAAGTTTCTTTCTGCATTATTCTGATAATGTAGAAACTTCTGAGTGCCCAAGAGATCATAGTGCTGTTCTCCTCCATTGAGTTCGTGGAAGCTTTTCATAAATAGTTATAGTCCAGGGTACAGAACCCTTATTATCAAATTATTAACATATGCCTGAAACTTCGTAAATAGCTTCATCTCATCGTAACCTACAACTATTTTATTTATGAAAACTCTTGGATCTGGAGCGTTTTCAATCTGGAGATCGGCAAACTTTGTCTATTTAATTAGGTACTAAAAACTCGTAAATACCCATTTGTTTTCCAGTTGAATCGTTAGATAATTTGATCACAGAGTCGAGAAAGAAAGTTAGCCGATGCATCCTCGTTATTTTAACACGTTGGGCGTGTAGGTTACTCCAAACGGCCCAATATTTTGGAAGGCCATTTTTTTCTCCCATATTTGGGGTTAAATTATCCTATGGTTTTTTTATTCATTGATATTTACAAGTGTAACATAAGAAAAAAAAATCTAGTACATGTGCACTTAGGAATATTATAACATGAAATCGCTTGTTGAGAAACTACCCACTGATAGCACTCATCCTACGGTTAAAGTGAAAAGCAAATGGGTATTTAGCAGTTTTTGGTTCCTTATTAGAATAAGTTCGCCAATCTCTAGATTGAAAACGCCCCGATTCCGAGAACTTTCGTAAATAAAATAGTTTTAGGTTACGATGAGATGAAGCTATTAAGGCGGATGTTAATAATTTGATAAAAAGAGGTCTGTACCATGGACTATAATATTTTAATTTTTAAAACCTAACATGTGATAATTATCTTATTTTAGTGCTTTCAAACGAAGGTCTCGGTTTAGTTCATTTAGAACTGTTCTTGATGTCTGCATCGAACTCCTTAAAGCTATCTCACTCCGTCGACGTTTTTTTAAATATTTTAAATTTTGAAATTGGCGTTTGTCACCTCTCCATGGAATCTCATTTTGTTTGATACCCCACTCATCAACATCCATCGTTCTTACGAGACGAAAAATGGACGTATACTGCGGTATTATACGAACTGTAGATTAATGATATCCAAATTCAAATATTTTTTGTTAAAAATAGTCTTTTTTATCTTTTATGAATCTTTTCTTTTCTTAGCAAACACTAGAAACATTGAAAAGGGATCATTGTAGCTTTAATTTCTATTCTCTTATATATTCCGTCTATCAGGAAGGATCAAGAGAACTTTATTAGTTATTTCATGAATCACCACATCATAATTTTTATGTTTTTTATAAAATATTGATTTCTAGAATATTGTTTAATTAATTATTCCATACCAGTTGTTTCTCAGACATACGAAGCCCACGTTGCTCCGGAATTCGCCATCCGTGGCAACTCAGTTGTCTTCAAGTGCAGTATCCCTTCGTTTGTTGCCGATTTTGTTTCTGTAACTTCATGGCTTTTAGGGAACGAAGAGGAAGTTTTACCAGATCAACAATATGGTATGCTTCATTCCAAGTTAAAAAGCCCACAGCTCACTCACATTATCCTCTCCTATTATATATCTCTGAAAAGTTCGTAAAATTGGAGATTGGATTGACTGAATAATTGTTTCATAGTAAATTAACTAAGATCTATAGGTTTTCATGTACTCCAACTACAAAAACTAGACAAATTATCTTACTGTACAGGTAAAGTTGGAGGGATTCATTCGGTAACTGGGTCTATTGTTCCTTTTTGCTTACTCCAAAAAATAAATAAATACCTTCCTTCCAATCTATTATTAATATTGATTATCTATATTAGCTCTATCACTTTTTGAAACCTTGCAACTTCAAGTGGGTATCTAAGCAACGTTCATGTTCTTTTACATACGGTTGGGAAGTTTTACGCAGAGAAGGCAGGGTTGATCTTCAACTATCACGCAAATCTTCAGATATCTTTTAATTATACCATTTAGTTCTAGAAGTGTTTTAAATCAATTGTTGGGTTGTCTGAATCTTATACATTGTCTCTACTCCTTACTTGCTTTTTTTTTCATTTCTAATCAAGGATTTCTTTCCGCTGATATTTCTTTGATATTCCTACTGGAGGTTCTGGTTCCAAAATAGGGATCTCAGTTCCTTTTTTTGCAACGATCCTTTAGTTTATATTGGCTTATTCTTACCATAGAGGGAGGGTCCAGATTCACTTAATAAAACTCACCTCTTTCCAACATTCGCATTTCAGACGATCATCCTTCCTTATGCTATTGTTTATTTATAAACAAAATATTGATGAATAGTATTATTTAATTAATTGTTTCGATTCTGTGTTAGTTGTATCGCAGACTTATATAGCACACGTCCACCCCGAGTTCGCCATTCGTGGTAACTCTGTAGTCTTCAAGTGCAGTATCCCCTCGTTTGTAGCCGACTTTGTTTCTGTCACATCATGGCTTTTAGAGGGTGGAGAAGAAGTCTTTCCTGACCAACAATATGGTATGCCTTGTGCTGCAAGATAGAAATACTCAACCTCACTCACATATTCCTCTTATTCCTTCTTTTGATTCAAATGTATTTTTCTTGTATGTTGAGCACTAGAAATTGAACTCTTTCAAGTGTATAAACGTAATACTATGGTATAATTATTGTTTTTATATAAAAAAAGAATATAAACTAAACTTGTTCAATTTTTGTTAGTTGTTACTCAGATTTATGAAACTAACGTGGCTCCCGAATACGCAATAAGGGGTAATTCGGTAGTACTGAAATGCAGTATCCCTTCCTTCGTGGCAGACTTCGTCCACGTCCTATCATGGGTTACAGACAGCGGGCAGGAAATTTATCCTACCCAAGACTATGGTAAATTCTTAGCTTATATCTCACCTATCACCTCGCTCAACCTGTGTTCCTTCCTTTCCCGATCGTGTTTTTTTCAGTATTACGGATTACTTTTCATCTATTCTAAACCGTAATGTCATATGATTTTTTTTTTCTTTGAATGTAGTTGTAACTCAAGCTTACGAAGCTAACGTTGGGGTGGACTACGCCATAAGAGGAAATTCAGTCGTAGTTAAATGTGGAATACCATCCTTCGTTGCTGATTTTGTCCAAGTGATATCCTGGCACACTGATAAAGGCGACGATATTTACCCTACAGAAGATTATGGTATTTATTCGCAATGTCCTCAGGAAAATCCTCACTCACATCAATCCTTTTCTTAATTTTATTTCCTTGAATATTCAATTTTTTTTTTACACAGTCGTTGCACAGTCATACGATGCAAATGTTTTTCTGGAAAACGCCATCAGGGGGAATTCAATTGTCATGAAGTGTCAGATCCCTTCGTTCGTTGCAGACTTCGTTCAGGTCCTTTCGTGGCACACAGATCGAAACGAAGACTTCTATCCAGAAAGTGATTATGGTCAGTTCCAGAATTTAGAAGAAAAAGAAAGATCGCCTCACTCTTATCTCCCATTTCACAATCCTCACAATTTTTTTATTTTATATATCATTTATTATCATGAATTATAAATGTTTCTAGTTGTCACGCAATTATACGAAAGCGAAGTAAACAATGAATATGTAATCAGAGGAAACTCAGTGGTCATGAAATGCAGCATCCCTTCTTTCGTTGCTGATTTCGTTTTCGTTATTTCTTGGCAAGACCAAACAGGCAGAATCTTTACTCACGATTCAATTGATGGTACTTAAGGAGAATAATAATATAAAAACGCTGCTCTCCACCTTACACTCACACATCTATATTCCATCAATGTTCCATTAATATCCCTGTTTTAGTTGTGAACCAGTTTTACGAAGCTGAAGTCGTTTCGGAATACGTTATTCGCGGAAACGCCGCACTTATAAAATGCAACATACCATCCTTTGTAGCGGATTTTGTCCGTGTCGACTCCTGGCTTGGGACTGATGGATCTATGTATACATATTCAACTGTTTATGGTAGTCGACTCTCTTATACACTTAAGAAATCATTTCACTCACTTATTCCATCTTTTAAATGAAAATATTTTAACAATTATCCTTCCTGTATTCATTCCTCCATGTTCATCCTTTTATTGGCAAGGGTCGTGTTTTAATTTTTTCATGTTAAATGAATATTAAAATTAAATATTTAGTTATTATTGATATATTCAACAGTGGTTAGCCAGAGCTACAAATCAAGAGTGACGGATGAAGACGTACTGCGTGGAAATTCTGCAATTTTGAAATGTCAGATACCAAGTTTTGTAGCCGACTTCGTTGATGTTGTATCTTGGGAAAGAGAGGATGGAGAAACATACACCAGCAACTTAGGAGATGGTTATGGTAATGCATAAACCAACAAATGGTTTAATCCTTATGTCCTCATACCCTTATTTTTCTCGAGGCCAAAAAATTGAAAAAGAAATGTCACTGTTTTGTGTGGGAAGAATTTTATGAATAACTTATGTTTGTAAATGAATAATTGGATCTCCCACCTGTCGTTCAGATACTTGTGGTTGATTGGCAAACAATTGCTTCTATGGCATAATCTGTAGTGCGTTGTTATTTGGAGCACTCCTTACAATGGGTTAACAGATGGCCACTAGTACCTCTCTTCATTCTACTTCCCCTTTATTCTTATTAAGTTGACGTTGTTCCCCTCGTGCTTAGGCGTTTGAAGAGATCCCCGAGTACTTCTTAATAAGTCTCTAAACAAGACGTTGCTGTTTTCATTTTGTGTTATTATTTCTTATTCTCTCATTGATTGGTTTATATTTATATTCTTTCTTCTCTTGAAAAATCCTAATTTATTATCGTTTTAGTTGTGAACCAAAAATACGAAGCTGAAATTTTAAACGAATACGTTATCCGAGGAAACTCAGCAGTAATGAAATGCAGTATTCCTTCATTCGTTGCTGACTTTGTTTATGTCTCATCTTGGCTGGATGAAACTGGAAAAGAATATCTTCTTTCTAAGGTTTCTTTTGGTATGTTTAATTTTTTTTTCCGGGTAAATATGAGAGCATCCGTTATGACTTGAACTAACCCCATCTCTCTATTCCTTAAAATGTCCCTAAAAGTCCTTTATTTTATTTTCTTCCTTAATGTTTCTTTTAACAGTTGTTAGTCAGGATTATCGGACGGAAGCAGAGAACGAGTTTGTTATTCGTGGCAACAGCGCAGTTATGAAGTGTAAGATACCAAGCTTCGTGGCTGATTTCGTCGCCGTCATTTCGTGGTTATCCAGCGATGGGACTGAAATGACGAAAGAATCCACATTTTTTGGTACTGCTTTCATCGGATCTGTTCCTGTTGTGTGTTGTTTTTTTTTTTACTCTTTTTCCTCACAGATTCCAATACTCCACATCCCTTTACCTAATCAACTGAGTGCGTTTCAGTGGTTTCTCAACCTTACGAAGCTGAAGCTGATAACGAGTACGTCATTCGAGGCAACAGCGTCGTCATGAAATGTGAAATACCTAGTTTCGTTTCTGATTTCGTGGCGGTTATGAATTGGATTGATAGTCATGGAAACGTCTACCTTCCCAACACAGATTACGGTAATTTAATAATTATTATCTATTCCTTTAGTCCAAAAAGACCTGTCCCGTTGTCACCAATCAAATCGACCAATAATTGGAAATTATATTAGGTGAATCTGAGAGACACATCAAGATTGCTTCTTATGCAGCATCCTTTTGAACGACATTCCCCTTTAAGTTTATTTTCGAATGTTTCTAGTTGTTGATCAGTTCTACCAGTCAAGAGTAAATGACGAATTCGTTCTCCGTGGAAATGCCGCTACAATCAAATGCATTTTACCAAGTTTCGTAGCAGACTTTGTTCATGTCGTTGATTGGGAAACAGATAAAGGAGAAACTTTCACTCTTAATGATAATATCTATGGTAATTCTTATGAAGATATTTTGACTATTCTCAATCCCTCTGGCCAAATATTAGTTCTTAAAAATTTACACAGTTGTCAACCAATTTATTCAGTCTTGTTTTATATATTCAACAGTTGTTAGTCAAAACTACAAGGCAAGAGTAATGGACGAAGACATACTTCGAGGAAATTCTGCGATTTTAAAATGTCAGATACCAAGTTTTGTAGCTGACTTTGTTGATGTTGTATCATGGGAAACAGATGATGGCGAAACATATACTACATCTAACTTAGGAAAGGTTTATGGTAATGCATAAACATGCAAATAATTATTTATGTCCCTTTATCCCCCCATTTTTCTCAAGGCCAAAAACTTAAAATTATCGTTGATAATTTGGATTTTGCTATTAGTTGTGAACCAGGATTACATGGTGAGAGTCATTGATGAACATATACTTCGCGGGAATTCAGCAACTTTGAAGTGTCTCATTCCAAGCTTCATTACGGATTTTGTTGAAGTGATTTCTTGGGAAACGGATGAAAATGAGATATTTACAATGTCTGAGACAGGATATAATGATATTGGTATTATTTTTAGCTACCATCATTTTGTTACTTTTTTTTTTTTTAATTTAGTCCCAAATTTTTGGCCAAATACTTAATAAACAGTTGTCTGATGCTTATTCATTTTCTAATGATGACATTATCAGTTGTTAATCAGCCCTATGATGGAAGGGTCATTGATGAGTATATCCTGAGGGGGAACTCAGCTGTGCTTAAGTGCCTCGTGCCTAGTTTCGTTGCTGACTTCATTGAAGTGGTCGGATGGGAAATAAGCGATGGTCAGTCCTTCGTAGCATCTGGAACTGAGGACAATTATGGTAAATCTAGGAAACCGTTAGGATAACCTCCCTACCTCCCTTCCCTCTTTAAACGTTTTGGCCAATAAGAAGCTTCTTCAAGGATTTCTATAATGTTACAGTTGTCAATCAGGATTACGAGGCTCAAGTTTATGATGCGTTTGTCATCAAAGGGAATTCAGCCCTGTTCAAATGCAATATACCTTCTTATGTTTCCGACCATTTGGATGTAGTAGCTTGGGAAGATACTAGCGGTGGATCTTATACACTGACCGACCGTTATGGTAAATCTCCATTTTCAAAGTCCATTACTTCATATCCTAGTTCCTATTTCCTCGAAGAACGTCATATTTTGTCTTTGTCGTATAAAAACTATTTGGTCTGTCCCAATTCTTTTCTATTAAAAAAAATAATAATTTAAAAAACAAAAACGGATATAATTATTCTTAGACCATTGCCCTTATGTTGCCAGTTGTGATCCAGCTGTATGATGTTAATATTTTGGATGAACACGTTTTGAGGGGTAATGCAGCCGTCTTCAAATGTCACATTCCAAGTTTCGTTGCTGACTTTGTATACGTTTCTTCTTGGATACAAGACGAACAACTAGAAATCTATCCTGACAGCACAAACTATGGTATATACAAACGCGAAAATAAAATAAAAAAATATATATATTTATCAGTTAATTTCGTCTTTTTACTTTACCTATGACGTGGTAGAATGACTATTCGGTGTAAAACTAGTATTTGGCCAATCCTTTCTCCTCTTCCTTGATCTTCTATGAACCTTTCCTTTCAAAACCTCTCCTACCTCTGTGTGAGTGAGGTGATTTTAACTTTAATGCAAGTTAAACCACATCAATATTTTATGAAATTTATATAATTTTATTTTTTTTAAACTGATATATTACATTCTTGTTGACTTTTTAGTATTAATAAGGTAAAAAAAAAAAAAAACTAAATGCGGTTTAACTTGTAATTATAGATATTAAGATTTTGTATATTTATTATTAAAATAATTACACTAACTTAATTTATTTTGTATACTGCTCCATTTCATTAAACATAACAGTTTCATTTGTTATTTATTAACACTACTGTTCTAATATAATTTGACATCACTAGTTCATACAATCACTGTACTCATTTTTTTAGATATTTTGCAGATAAATAAATTCAGTTAGTGTATTTATTTTTAACATTTTATCTTCACAGGATGTGACATATTATTATTAATTTTTTAACGAAATAAGTCATTGTCTCAATAGTTCTTCAGGTGCATTCTGAATATTTTTAGATTATTATGTCCTGGTAAAAAGTAATATGTGGATTTGAAAACTTTTTTTAAAACAGCCAAATGAAAAGTATATTAGAAATTTTAAAGTTAACTTTCTTTCTTTTTTTTTTTTTAAATACTACCACATCCTGTGAAATAATCTTTTTTTTCATGTATTTACAAATTTGTCATTTCCTTGTCAATCGAAGTTAAAATTACTTAACAATTAAAAATAACAAATTGCTTATCTTTCATTTCTCTACTATATATTGTATGTTTTTTTTATTATTTAAAAAATAAATATGATACTTATGATTATGTTTTGTTGATTACTAATTCAATTTTCAAAAATTTATAAGCATTATTCTTCGATCGAACAAAGGAATTGATATCAAGAAAATTTTGAAAAATTATTCATTTAAATTATTTATTTGGCCAGAAAAGTATGCTGTTTCAAAATCACCATTCTCAAAAAATCATAAAATAGTCATTGAATGTATTAAAAGCCTACTGTATTTTGTTCTTAGTCTTTATATTTGGTGAAATATGAATGTAAATACATTTAAAATTCAACTTTTCTTCTGTTTTTAGTTTCAAATGAAAAATAAATTAAAATAAATATTTTTTAATGCATACAGCACTTTTCTGGGAAAAAAAATAAAAGCAATAAATTAGAATTTTAAAATTAATTTACAATCATTTGCTCTTTGGAAAATATTGGATGCCTTAAATGATAGTAATTAGCATTTATCCATGTTTTTCCACGGACCATATGACTTTGTCACGACTGCATTTAAGTAACAAATGTAAAGAAAATCACAATTTCGGTATTAACTACTTTTATTTTACTGAAACAGAAAACAGTCTTCTTAGGATTTAAAAAAAATACCAATATATACATTTGTTTCTTAAATGTAGTGGATATTACTTGATTACTATGATAAATTTGGTTGTTTGCAAAATATATTTCAGTTTAATTTCTCCTAATTTTTATTACATAATTATTTCTGTCAATGTTAATGTTATATTACAGATAATTAGTTTATGAAGGAAGTTAGTTGACTGTTCTACATATCATGGGTGATAAATATTCAGGAAGCAGTCTTTTTTAATTTTTGCCAACGTTTCAACCCAAACATGTGGGTCATCTTCAGGGCTGAAAATGTTTTTTAAAATTACAATCAGAGATATAATAGTATACGACCGCTAATTATGAATAATAACTATAGTGATTGATGGCACATGAATCTTTGTAATTTTAAAAAACATTTTCAGCCCTGAAGATGACCCACATGTTTGGGTTGAAACATTGGCAAAAATAAAAAATTTTAAAAAAGACTGCTTCCTGAATATTTATCACCCATGATAATTATTTTATATGCAAACAACCAATTGCACTAATCTGTTTAAATAGAAATAAGAATAATGAGAGATGTAACATTAGTCTAATCATTTTTTTTTTTTTTTAATTTTCTTTGTAGATGGTAAATACTTAGTGCTGCCCTCTGGTGAACTGCATATTAAAGATGTCGGACCTGAAGATGGACAGAAATCATATCAATGTCGCACCAAACACAGGCTTACTGGAGAAACGAGACTCAGTGCTACTAAAGGTCGACTTGTCATCACTGGTGAGTGCAAAATTTTTTGGTTCATTTATGTACCTTCTTTGGACAATTAATTCCCTTCTAATTGCTATATATGGTATCATAAAATTATTAATACTTTATCGATAGGAATAGGATGCAATAGTTAAAAAATGATTTTTTAAAATATTTTGTTAACTTTAAGTATGCAATGATGTTGATTATGTGAAATTATTTTAAATGAAGGTAGATTAATCAAATACAAAAAAAATATTAGTCATCAGTGTGTTCATATCTAATCTAACATCAATTTACTATTGAATAATATCCTATATTTATAAAAAAAAGTATGTTTAGACATATTAAAATTTTTCTTCTTTGACATTTTTCAAGCAATTTTAGTTATTTTTTTAGATTTAAAGAATTATCAAAGGCAATATTTTGGTAAACTTTTTATCAAACTTTAAGCATTTAAATTGGTGATGGCAAACATTTAAACATTTTATTAATGAATCATAGTTTTTGTAAATTGTTAATGCCGTACTTGTCATAATTTGTATTTATGTTTTTTGCAACTTCATTATTTTTCTCCCCACTTTTTATGTTTTTTGTTAAGTCAAACATTTTGCTTTATGTTAAAAAAGAATTTAAGAGACTCCCTTGTAGGTTACGATAATTTTTCTTACTAAAGTAGATTTTATTCTAATTTTCATTGTTTTGTGAAGTAAAATATGCTTTTTTTTCTTATCTATTTATTACCAATTTTCATTAACATAAACTACGGTTTCTTTTTTATAATAATTACTTTTTAAATTTAGTTGTCACTCAGAATATATTTTTCTTATAAAAATTTAAGTTTATAATAATTTTTCACAATGATGTAGAGATGGCTGACCGTTGATATAATATGAGGAGTTAATCAGGGGGTGCGGTCAAATAAATACTAAATTAAGATATAGTAATTATTTAATTTTTGCCGACGTTTCGACCCACTTTGCAGGTCCTCTTCAGGGCTACAAAAGATACAAAACATGGTGAAAATAAAACAATGAATATAAGTAGATATAAAAAAAGAAGATGTTGTCAGATACAGAAATAAAAAGATGATATCAGAGATATAGTGGGTGACAATGTAGTTGAAATATCAAGTATTATATTTTCAAGTTTTATTTTCACCATGTTTTGTATCTTTTGTAGCCCTGAAGACGACCTGCAAAGTGGGTCGAAACGTCGGCAAAAATTAAATAATTACTATATTTTAATTTAGTATTTATTTGACCGCACCCCCCCCTCCCACCACCGATTAACTCATTCTCAAATTTTTCACAATAATGAGATGCTGTTTTTGTTTGTATTTAAAATTGTAATTTTATAAATATATTTTTAGTCACTGCTAGCAAATTCAAGATGCATGATTTGAACATAAGAGAGTTCGTAGTTAATTTATACAAAATTAATAAGCTATAGTACTTTTATTATTGAATCAATTTTTATAAATCATTTTGTCCTTTATAAATTTTATGATTAAGTTATTTTTATTTTTGATGCAAAAATACAAAAAATAAATATATATCATTGTAAATAATAAAAAAACTACAAGGAATTAATTGTTCAAATTAGTGTACATACAATTAATCTTTTAGAAATCATTTTACTTCTTTTACTTATATATAAATCAATTTATCATTGCAATGGAATATTTACAATTCTTAGCATTGATTTTCTATTTCATTCAATAGTATTTAAGTTTTTATCATTGCTTCAGAATCATTAAATTCATATTTTATAATTAAAAGAACCAAAAAAATTGGACATGCTTTTGTTGAAAGTTGTATCATAAGAGATATATTTAATTTAATCTCATATTGCTCTGTATATGAGTATTGTTAACTTTTGAAATATACCAAATTAGAACAAAAAATGAATTTTAATTCAAGATTTATTTATTGCTTCAACTGAATAATATTAGCTCATTTCAATTTAATCATAGTTTATATATTAATATATTTAATATAGAGGAGGTATTGTTGACCAATAGAAGTTGACTCGAATGCATTTTAAGTTTTATTGTCTTGTGTGCTGACATTTCAGCCTAAAATTTAAGCTTTCATCTGTGATATGTAAATAAAGGAGATGAAAAGTAAGAAAAACAGTATAACAATAATATAAGAAGATAAAAATACATGATGACACAGTTTGAAAATTTATAGTATGAAAAAGTTAATAATAAACCAAATATGATGTGTAAGTAATGAAAAATAAAATTAAGTAATACAATATGAATTTAAAATTACTTAGCAAGATAAAGTATATGTTACTAAGACAAGATAATAAATATGAAATATTATATGTAGGAGATACTAAAATACTATAATAAAAATCATGTACTTTTTACTTAAGTATTAATTTTAACTTACTCCATCATAGTGTTTTATTCTTGTCTTATTATTGAAGTGAAAACTTCTTTAGACGCGTTTTGCACTTTTTTTGTGAAGATTGAATTAGATTGAGCAGTCAGATCTCCGATGTATAACGCTCGAGTAAAATCGGCTAGAGTTGACTAATTGAAGTGTTTTTGCATATGGATTAAAATATCTCGAAAACTAAAAATTGGACCTGCATACTGTAAGGGAAAGAATTGTTCAGCATTTTATCCTCTCTGTTATGAGTTATTATGAAAATTGTATCTTAATGTGATGCTGTGTTAGAGAAGTGAAAAGGAAAAAAAAGTTTCGAAAACCAAATCATAACGAGTTTTAGTAAAGATATGGATTAAAATATTTCAGAAACTAAAAATCAGACCTGTGTACTGTAAACTAGGGAAATGTTCAGCATTTCATCCTTTTTTATAATGAGCCATTATTTATAATTTATATTGTATATTATTAATCTTGCCTTGCTGATATTTTCATTTCTATCTAGTGGTCTAAATCAAACACCTTAGTTTTATTTTTATGTTATTTTTCATTCTTTAAACATTCATATTAAGTTTATCATTAACAATTCCAAACAGTTTCATTATATATTTTTTTGTTGTGTTATTGTTATACTGCTTTTCTTACTTGTTAACTCGTTTTTCATCAACCGCAACCTTGACATACAAGAAGATAAAGCTTGTGTATTCTTTTATCTTTGACAATACCCTCAACAAACTTCTTCTAATATATTTAGTCTTTGTTGTTTTATTGTCATGTTTTTTTTTATAAATTTGAATTTATATATCATATATTGTTTTCATGTTACAATAAAATATATTGTGATCAATTTATTGATCCATTGAATGATTCTGAAGGATTGATAGAGAAGCCTGAATGTTGGGATAGGGTACCCCTGCGGCCGGATGAATGATCAATCATTTTTCAATTCATATTTTTTTTTTTTAATTCATCCATTCATTATTTCTTTTTTTACACATAAAATATTTATATTTTGCTTCCTCACATTTCAATTTTTGAGGTAAGTGATTTTTGATATTTTTTCCTCCATTTTGGTCAAATACTTCAAATTGACAAGCTTTTGTTGTTTTATATTGCGCTTGTATGTTGCCTTCAACAATGAAGTGGTTTTTTATTGTATTATAAACTTTAATTATTAGTTGTTATGAATTAAGAAGTTTTTTATATGTAATTCATATATTTTCATCTCTCATGAAAATATTAAATAAATATATCTTAATGAAATCCTAAGTAATAATGCATATATTATTTTTCTTGTTAGGTATTTGATAAGTCATATAAAAGAAAAATCATATAAACAATAGTTTATTAGTGAGATATCTGATTATTTTTAATCATTTATTTTTTTTTATTTATTTGACAGTTTTCAAAATAACAATGCTTAAAATCTTCAAAAAGCCTAAAGCAAAAAGCCATAATTTTTTTGGTTATACTAAAATCTTTTCAAAGACTTCAGTCAAAGATTAATTTTTTTCCCCCCGATCCAATACTGGTAAATCAGTGATTTAAAAAATAATTTAATTGAATATGTACAAAACTAAATATTTTTGATCTTAATTTATTTAATATTTTTGAAGATATTTCTTTTTGTTACAAGTAATTTTTTAAGACATATATCATTTTTAATGTAAGTAATGCCAATCAATTTCTTTGTAAATAGTGTTGAAATAATGAAAATATGTCATAAATGGTGGGATGTATACAGTTTCAGTCAGCTGCTTTGGTCGTTCTATAGCAAAATTAATCACATTATTGATAATAAAATTGGCATTTCAATATATATTATTAATTCATAATCAATAAACATTTTTAATATTTCGGAACTTAAAATGTAATACTAGTAAGCATAGTAATGAAATGTCCGGAGGATGTTTTTGGGGATGTTTTTTTTTCATAAGTTCACAGCCTATTTACAATCATTTTACACTCTAAATAAAATGTACTTAGTTAGAAAGCAGTAAATACGAGATGATCATAATAAAATGTCAATTTATTATGAACCTTCATTTGTTTTAAATTTTAGCCTGCTTCTAGTCACTACTTCAATACAAATGTATTTTTATTATACACTGCACTTAGAATTTGCTTTTTTCAGAATTCTTAGTTTTAAGAAACTCTCCGTTATTTGTATAGAAATTCATTATAGAATTAGCAACATCATTGAGGCCATTATCGAATCTGAACGACTACTTTGTTTTCCAGAATATTTTTGTGAAACTTTTTTGCTTATCTTGTATCTATTAACAGTCGAGAAAAAATAAGTTTTAAATAAAGTACAATGCCATCTCATTAATCCAAACTTATTTTATGCTAATTAAATTATGATGGATGTAATTTTAACATTTTTATCTCAATTATTAATAATGTTAGCTGATAAGAACATTAAACAGTCTATTACAAATAAATGGTGAAAAATCAGAGCAGTCCTTGTTTGTATGTTTTTGTAGGATTAGAAAGAATAAATTTATGCTTAATTACGTTTTTGCCGAAGCTGGTGTGCGAAAAGTTAACTTAACAATATCAAGATATATTATTTGCAGAGCTTTTCAAGATGTTAAATAAAACTTATAACTTTAGTTTTGTAAAACA